GGGTTTAGGGTTTAGGGTTTAGGGTTTACTTTGCTGGGGTCATAGGGTCTGTCTTTGCTGGGGATTTCCAAAATGGTTGGAACCACTCGGCTGTGGAGGTCCACCAAATAGCGAATGTTATCTGCCACCTAAAATGAAAGTAAATAAATAAAGAAATAAATAATAAATAAATAAATAAATAAATAAATAAATAAATAATAATAAATTAATCAATAAATAATAAATAAATAAGTAAATAAATAATAAATTATAAATAATAAGCAAATAAATAAGCTGATTAAAATAAGTAAATAGGTAAACAAATAAACAAACGAAACAAATAAAACAAATAAACAAACAAAAAAGAAACAAAAAAAATAAATAAACAAACAAAGAAAGAATTAAAAAAATAAATAAATAATAAATAAATAAATGACAAACAAACAAATAAATAAACAAATAATAAATAATAAATAAATAAATAAATAAATAATAAAATAAAATAAATACAACAAATAAATAAATAAATAAATAAAAATAAAGTTCCCACGTGTTGATTAATGAGGACAATTCCGACATCACTGCGGTGGGTGAAATCGTGAAAGGCCCTTTCGATGTCTTGCCGCTTCGTCTCTGCACTCAAACCCTAAACCGTAAACCCTAAACCCTAAACCCTAAACCCTAAACGCTAAGGTCTAAACCCTACACCCTAGGGAGGGCCACGAGGCTCGCCACAAACCCTAAACCCTGCACTCTTGGGGGAGAACTCAGGCAGCAAGGCCCGCAGCTGCAGCCGTTCATGCTAGGGTTTAGGGTTTAGGGTTTAGGGTTTGAGGTTTACTTGTGTCAACAACCAGGAAGTTCGTTTTCCCCATGCCGTCTCTCATGCCAATCCCCGCCATCAAGAAACCCGCCACCGTGTCCTGTACAAACCCTAAACCCTAAACCCTAAACCCCAAACCCTAAACCCTAAACCCTGAACCCTAAACCCTGGGCTCCAGGCACTTAATCATAGGGGCAAGCGACAAGCTCTCGGCCCTAAACCCTAAACCCTAGACCCTAAACCCTAAACCCTAAATCCTCACTTCATCTCCAATGACACATATTTTAAGTTCAGCAGCCCCGTGGGGTCGAACGCTGCCCCTGTAGACAGCCATCACCAGATGCTG